TTGGGTTTTTAGTTTGTTTTGGTTTTATTTAGTTTTTTGTTTAGTTTTTTTTATTTTTTATTTAGTTTTTTATTTAGTTTTGTTTAGTTGTTTATTTAGTTTTTTATTTGTTTGTTTATTTTTTGTTTTGGTTTTATTATAACAATAAAACAAAAAAAGCAAACACACAACAACAAAAATAAAAGAAAAATAAATAAAAACAAATAAAGATAAATAAATAAAAATAAATAAAAATAAATAAAAATAAAATCAAATAAAATAAAACTAATATTATAATCATGGAGAAGTTTATCTGTTAGTTGTTTTTTATAACAACAAAAACAAAAAAAACAAAAAAACGAAAACAAAAGAAAAAACAAAAAACTAAAAAACTAAAAAAACACAAATATAAAGATAAAAATAAACAAATAAAAACAAAATAAAAGAAAATAAAATAAAATAAAACGAAACAAAACAAAATAAAACAAAACAAAAAAAACTGAAACAACATGAAATAAAATAAAACAAAACAAACTAAAACAAAACAAGCTAAAACAAAACAAAACAAAACAAACTAAAACAAAACAAACTAAACTAAACTAAAATAAAAAAAATAAAATAAAAAAATAAAAAACTAACATTATAATCATGGAGAAGTATATCTGTGAGTTGTTTGCATTTTTTTGCGTCTCCAACAAAAAGAGGAACGATGTGCGATAAATTAAAAAATAAAGGAAGCTGCTGCTGCAGCAGCAGCAGCTTCAGCTGGCTGCAGCGCACCTGCTGCATGCATCGCTCCGTGCTGCAGTGTATACACAGATATAAATATATTTTAGTTTTTTATTTTTTTATTTTTTATAGTTTTCGTTTTGTTTGTATTGATAGCAGCAACAATTCAAACAATCACATGCAGCCAGCAGCAGCAGCAGCAGCAGCAGAAGCAGCAGCAGCAGCAGCAGCAGCAGCAGAAGCAGCAGCAGCAGTAGAATGCATGCAGCAGCAGAAATAGAAGCAGAAATTGAAACGAAAGGATACATAAGGAGACAGCAGAAAAAGAAAGGAGACAAAAGGAGACAGAAAAGGAGACAAAAGGAGACAGAAAAAAAGAAAAGAGAAAAAGAAAAAGAAAAGAGACAAAAGGATACAGAAGAAGAAGAAAAGGGAACAAAAGGAAAAAAGAGACAAAAGAAAAAGAAAAGAGACAAAAGAAAAAGGAGACAAAAGAAAAAGAAAGGAGACAAGAGAAAAAAGGAGACAAAAGAAAAAAGGAGACAAAAGAGAAAGAAAGGAGACAAAAGAGAAAGAAAGGAGACAGAAAAGGAAAAAGAAAAAGAAGAAAAAGGAGACAAAAGGAGACAAAGAAAAAGAAAAAAGGAGACAAAAGATAAAAGGAGACAAAAGAAAAAGAAAAAAGGAGACAGAAGAAAAAAGGAGACAAAAGAAAAAAAAAAAAAAAAAAAAAA